AACTTCAATTGCAAGTCCTAAACACAATCAGCGTATATTACGCCAAAGCCATCGCCTCTATACACTCCTGCCAAAATGAACACACAACCAGGTAGGCTTTCAGTTACTGCTCTTTCCAAACATACCGCTAGGCGTCGTCCTTACACTGTGGCCCGGTGACAGGTCCCACAATGCACTTCACTCAACTTTGGCCTGCCCCATTGCATGACGGGAAACAAAATGGCGGCGCCCATAAAATCGAGGTAACGTAAAACAGGTTCCCGCTATCGCGAACCTGTAATAATTTTTTTGGTGTTTGAAAACTTTTTAACAGGCACCGATTGTGTGATCCTGTGACTGGGAATATTCTAAAAGTAGATGTCTGGCGGCAAAAGCGTCACGGTTTAGAACTGGCCTTTGTTTGCTCTGGGACTGTAGATAAATAATCTCTTACAAATAGGATTTTAGGTAGAAAGGCCCCAGAACTGTATTTTTTTTTTAATTTCCATTTATACTTTGGCATTTTATATTGTACAAGTACTGCACTTGCTTGTGAATTTAGGTGCATATATCAATATGAGTAGTGAGAGAGAATTTTAATAAAGACAATTAATTACAATTAATTACACCTGTTACATCTTACAACTTTACTACTGAAGATGCAATCTGACGTATCACAGTCATTTCTACATGAAGATAACCACATTGTGGGTTAGCTGATAGCATTTGAACATCCCCAAATTTTGGACATTTGATCATTTGGACATTTGATCACATTTCTACTCTTGAATGAGGCCACACTGATTTAATTTTATGGATGACATCCTCGCGCGCATTGATTTTCGCTTGTTCTCCAAAAAAAAAAATCATGTCTTTTGAGGCTTCACGGAACTCCGGAACTCGGCTGGAACTCGGTACAGACTGCCGACTCATGAATGCCGCAAAAGGACGGCTTATCGTAAAACTTCTTTTGTACTACCGCAAAACGTAAATTTTGTCGTAAATGAACCCTTTGCACATGCGTACTAGCTACACTAACAATGTAGAGCGCGAAGTTTGCAAGAGATGGCGGGGCAGCGTCGTCCTCAAAGTACGTCAAACTGGAGGCGTTGTTGTCGACTGGTATGCCATCGACATTGGCGAGGGGGATGTAACGTTTGCCCAGCTTTACGAGCGACTCGTGGCAGCCAGCGAGTATCGCCCGGACAGACGTCCTTTCGATGAGAGAAATGGGAGCTGTGTTGAGGTGGCCTTTAGAGTGGGTCAGGCCACTTCTCAGTGCAGTTCGGCTGTTTTGTCCGTATTGTTGTTGACAAAACTGCAACAACTAAAGCCAAAGATTGTCAGCAGAAGTCAGCTTTTGAGGTAAGAATAGTTCAGTTATTTTTTTGTTTGTTTTGTTTTTCTTGATTTCGATCCAGTATCCGTTGCAAAATTCATGGGGAGGGGCGCGTACACGTGTTATGATACAGACAAAATAAAGTTGTCAATGATTTACAGTAGTTTTATGTAGATTATGATGTTGTAATCATATGGCAAATTTCCAACAAGATGCATTTCTTCATGCAAGTTTTTTGTTAATTTTCTGTTGGGTGTTTTTTTTAATAGTGAGCTCTTGCAAAAATTATTCCACAAAATTTCCTATTTGAAAAATGATTTTTATTTCTCTGTTTCACATCCGTTTTGTGCAGGGCTCTTTCATGTAGTGCACCAGTGGAGGTGTACTCTGCGCGAGTCAAGTCTAGGGCACTGGCCAGAATGGTATGCTGGCAGTGTGGGGAAACAGACACGCTTCCCATCCCTCCAGAGAAACTGCAGTGTTTCAGAGCATTCATCCAGTGTGCCAGGTGGGTTAAATATTATTGTGTACCTCATGTTTTACTTGTACATTCATTCTCACCTGCATTAGTAATGTTGTAATTTTTACAATACACTTACAATTTTATTTGGAAACATACATTCCAAGAGTAAATCGATTTTGCATACCATGTCATTTTTCTGTAGGTTTGCAAAGCCACTCGTGTTGAAGAGCGTACAAGAGTAAAGAGAAAGCTGGAGAGGAAGGGATCTAGAGAGGAAGAAGATGGACCACTAACTTTCAGGTGGGTACTGTTTCTGCTCTACCTTTTACATTTTGCCAAAAATATTGATCTCAAACTTTTATCTGAAATAAAATCCACATCTATTCAATCCCCTTGTTGTATGCACTTCTACAGGGTATAAAGTATAAACTATATACTGTATATATAATTCATGTATATATCTACCTACAATGTAGGTCAAGCAATACCTTTACATTTTTCTGTAGGGAGAGAAAACTGCGAAGGAGGAAGCTGCGAAGGAGGAAGCTGTGAAGGGGGATGAGACCTGAATAAGACTAACTACATCTACCTCCTGCAAATAAAAACTTGTTTGATGCAGTCACTGTGTCCTGTGGTTCAATCCGCAATATCGGCTTTGTATTCCTGTGGTTAAGCAGCTATTTTTTTTTTTGCTGAATTTTTTTTTTCGCCCTCTCGCATTAGTTTTGTGGTCCCCAGAGGATGTCATCCATAAAATTAAATCAGTGTGGCCTAAAGAATTAAAAAAAAACTTATTTTGCGTTTTTTTTTGGGGGGGGCGTTTTTATCATTTTTGTACTGGCATATTTTATTACACCAGCCCAGGGTTGCATTTTTATGGTAACCGTTTGCCAATGGGATACTTCCTGGCTTCCATACTGTCTTTGCCAGACTGGTCTTTGCAAACACCGAAAGATATGCTTGAAGATTACAACACTTTTACTATATCCTGTTTCCCATTTCCGTGATGCATTGCGGTTGGGGGGTAAAATTGTGGAACTTGTGGCAGTGTGATTTTTTGACAGTTGCCAAAACCTTGAAAACGTATGAAGAAACCAACACTATCATCGTAGTGACATTACAGTGCTGTTGAAAAGTTAAGTTGATGATTCAAATAAGATCCAAAAATCCGGATAATCTATAAACCATGCGTTCACTTCTGGAGGTGATAATCTGTCAAA